ACCTTACTTTAGAACAAAGTGTTCTGATGTTCGGTTCAGGGGTCCTTGGTGGCCAGAGCTATCCTGGTCCTCTCTGGGTTCTTGTGGTCCCTCTCTGGGGCCAGGGGCTGAGTTGGTATGAACACTCGGGGATTCTCTACCTCCAGGCCACTCCCGTCTTTGCCCAGCCTGGGTCACCCAGCCCTTTCCCTTGGCTGGGGGTTTCTTCCAGAAGCCACATTAAAAGCGTACGAAGGAAAAGAATTTTTTAATTAAAATAAAAAATCTCACCACACGGAGGAGGTATACACACTCCTTAGAACAACCGATTGCAGGAGACCCAAGGGCAGCATGCGTCCAGGGATGCAGCTCTGAAGGCAGGAAGGGAGGAAAGCCAACTCCGGGGTGGGGAGGATGTGGGATGCATGCTGTTGCGTTATGGCGGCTGCCCTCCAGGTTACAAAGCAGGGTTGTTGAATGGAAAACCAACGCGTTCGTAGGCTTTCCTTCCAATCCCAGTGAAAAGTTTTAAACATTTTCAAGTAAGTGAGCGAAAAGAAGCAAGCAAAATAAATGTTCCCTCACACCGCAGGCTCCAAGACATTTTCATTTCCACCCGCAGCCAGTATAAAATTGTTGATGAAATACGATCGTGTATATTCTTTTTTTCCACCGGTGTCATCAAAGCCTGACGGGTATTTCACACAGCATATCTCAGTTTGGATTAGCCACAGGCCAAGTGCTCTGTTGCCACCCAGGGCCCTGCTATACGAGCCAGGCCACCGTGCCCACCCTCCCCGAGGCCTCCATGCCTGCCCAGAGCCCCGCCTGGGTCGGCCTGTTTCATCCTCGCTCTGCCCTGCCTTTCAGACATCGACGAGTGTGAGCACAGAAACCACACCTGCAACCTGCACCAGACCTGCTACAATTTGCAAGGCGGCTTCAAGTGCATCGACCCCATCCGCTGTGAGGAGCCTTATCTGCGCATCAGCGACAAGTGAGCCTGGACTGTCCCTGCAACTCGGGGTTCATGGAAGGGGGCCCAGGAAGGCAGCTCAGGGAAGGGGGGGGGGGCTGGGTCTCAGTGTGCTCCTCTGAGGATGGGTTTGAACCAGCAGTCATCTCTGTGCTTCTGGTCAGCCTTCCTCCCTGTGCCTCCTAATGCCCCTGCACACACACCCTTCCTCCTTCACGCCCC